AACTGTCTCGTGTGTTCAGTTCAACCTTGGAGCTCCATACATATGTAGCTGTGAGACCTCCAAGCTCAAGCTAAGTCATCCTTTCTTCCCCAGACTGATTTTCATAGGTGCGAAATACAAGCAATGCATCATCTACTTGGCCATACATCATACTTACCTGCCTGCCTAGCACCTAAGGTATGTATTGTGTATGCAGAGGTAAATACATGTATGCAACTTGAAGTACATATGTATACAGACATGCCGCTTTCAATTAAGTATACGTACTAGGTATGCAAGTACCTTATATGGTAGAGCCTCTGCAGAAAACGACATGCTATACCAGCCGACATTGAAAACATATCCACCGAGCCGCGCACGTGTATACTTCACCAGAAAGGACATGACTTTACAGGTCGCTATAACATCGACTCTTGTCGGCCACGTATGTCTAACGGGTCCCCAGCACATATAGTTGGACTACATTAAGTATGTAGAACCCGTAATACCACATATGGGTACGGGACCATACAGCTACTAGGTATCGTATCCGTATCCACGCTACGCGGAATCCTTCCACTACTATGTACCTACAGAGGAAACGTCCAAGTACAACCTTGAAGCGTATGGGGCTTAGAAAATACACGAACATCAAGGAAATATTCCGGCCTGCAATGTGTGACCAACCTTGTTTGGCGTTGGTTTGCCCTCTTGCTGCTCAGCGATATCCAAACGCACGGATATACGATTTTATGTCACTTGTAATTTTTGTACGAATGACGTCCTAATGCGACCCGACGGCCACATATCGCGAATCTAGAAACGCCCGGAAAATCAAGATACAAGATCGATTAATCGAGACCAGATGCCGATTTATGACTAGCGACAAGGCGCACCCCTCTTTGCTTCGCACGTGTTGGTTGAACATATTACCCCTCGAAAATACATATACATATCCTGATATTTACTATCATGATACATACCTACCTGCCTACGTAGTATAAGATACTTAGTAGGTTATGATATAGTGTGTTCTATCTATATCCGCCTGTCATACACAAGAATAGCCTTTCGTCAAGACTGCCTACGAAACCTGAAAACATCTGCCTAGCTACACTGCCGGCACGAGCCGTTTGGTTTAAAGTCAGACCTAGCAAATAGTACGAGATATAGTACGAGGCAGCCAAGCCAGACTGTTTTAATACACTCACAGATCTACAAGTATGTACGCACGACTTATACACTTTACCTAGACGTACGTATACGTGTATGTATGTAACTATATCCAAAGAGATGTAGATATGTAAGCATCGATGGGTGCTTACTAAGGTTTTATTGGCTATATCTCTTATACATACATGCACACAAGCAGTCTGTCTATCAGTCTGTAACGATTTTATCTTTTTGTGGTTGGGTTTCACACTTGAAGTGCCGCCAAGTGAGCTAAGATAGATCAATACTAACCCGCCTCGACGGCCTCCCAACGTTCAACGATTCTACTATTAAATATGTCTCCACTTGGAGAGACGTCCGAAGCCTGCCAGCCTGCCAGCGTGAAACGCTCGGTCCGCCCGTTTAACGAAAAAATCACCCCATGATAAAGGGTTTGCTTAGCTGTCTGGCTAGTGATTGGCGGAATTAAGTCCTGCTGCCCTCAATAGCATAACTTCCGTACATATAACTAATGCCAAATTACTAACATAACAACACATAGCGTAGACCCACCTGACGAGAACGGTGAGAGACTGGAGTGCCAGAGTGGGCTTGGGAAAGACTTGGGTGAACGAGTACCGAAGGTGGGTGTTTAATACGTCTTCTCGGTCTGTCCGACCGGCTCTCCTTCACCTGGTGTCGACGATATTATGTACTAACTAACATAAATAAGGTACTTTATCGTATTATATTATTGGGTATTGTCGGGTTGGTCCCCCTCCCCAAACGGGTGCGGGTATGTCGGCCAATACCCGTTCTGCATATCATATGGACAAAGCGAACTCGATGGTTGTGTTGTGCCATTGAAGAAGAGCGAGAGCTATTAATTTAAGTGGCTTGAATATAAGCTTTTCGGGATTTGTTCTCATTATGCACTCGGAGCACACTCGGTGTCTTTTCTTACTCACTTACGTACATACCTAACCTAGGTACGTAAGTGTTATAATACAATATGGAATTATTGTATTATACCTGCCTACACAGGTATACAATGCCATAGAAGCATACCTATAAATGTAGGTCAGTTACATAAGTTACATGGCAGTCAATGGCAAGAGTTAGATGGGTTGTCTGGACTCTGGAGTTGAGCCCTGAAGGATATGTACATGTACCCACACGATGAGGGATGGTGAGGTACAAGATGTGTACTTTATCTATCCACCGCCATGGACAAACCTGGTCAGCTCGTGCATTCGAATCATTCGAGTTTGACCCCACATCTGAAGGGCCCTGGTCAGCGTTAGAAAATCTAGAAAACCAGAAGATGCCCCAGACTGCCGGGTTTGCATCCGATTCAGGATTTCATACCCCTGGATTCTCCCAAATCGGGGCGATCATCATATGTAACAGGCCATATCGCTACTTAGCTAGGGGTCAAGATACCTGGAGCAAGATCCCGTCGTCCAAGTGCTTTTTCTACGCTTGTACACTTCTTGTACCTACATGCTTCGTGTCGTTACTTACTGGTACATACTTCAGTAGCTTCTCCATCGTATCTCTTTTCCATTCCATCATATCGACCAGAAGCCAAGCTACGGTACTCACATACGCTGCATGTATCTAGTATGGTAGATTCCGATGTCAGGCTGAGATGGCACTGTACCCGCCTACCGCTGCATATGGGGACGCTTCTCGCGATGACAATGGAAATAAATGCACGATTCAGGCACTGTATATGTTGGACAAAATATTGATTCGTGACGCTTTCAGGAGTCTGCATACATATTACATACCTTCCTACACTACATACATACCTACCTTAAGACTACACTACATACCATAGATTTGCCAACAACGACGGCGACGCAACCGTTCGTGGCAATTTATTGGTACGAGGAGTCTGCTCCTAGGGCGAATAGTGTAGTGAATACCTACAGTACATACCTAATGCGGCGTCTACTACCTAGGTACCTTGCAACGAAGATCAGCCATTCTCGTGCTTTAGGGCAGCTGTCAAACTTGCAGCAACGATGCACGACGTCGGAGTTGATAGATTGGTTTGCTTACAGCCCACGAGGCGTTCTTGCGTTGGGCGCGCTCTGTCGCACGAGCTCGCCCAATATGCTGATTTAGAAGTTTCCTGGTATGTATCCAGATGTATGTAACTAGTTACTTGTTATGCTGTATTCTGATATACATACCTAGGTTAGTATTGTAGGTATATTTCATACTCTTCCTACCTTACCTACATATGTATATGTATCTACTGGCCAAGGTATGTACATACATAAATAATGGCATACTGGCCAGACCCTGAGGCAACCATCAAAAAACATCTCTCCTTTCTGGCTCTCGCGTTGCACCCGGAACCACGGTAGAATAACTTATCTTCCGCGCTCCCGCGATTTCCTAACCTTGGTTGCGAGCGTAGTATGACTAGCTCTGGAGGATTTGGGTAACCTAATGTTAGCCATCGACCCAAAGCTGCGGCGTAATCTGGATCGAATGGCAGCCTGGACATGCAGACCACTTAGATCTATGTTATCTTGCTAACCTAGGCCATTTGTCCCCCTTTCGAGTTCCTTGCTCCCACAATCTCGGTAGCGCCCAGCTTTTTCTTGCTCCATTATTTCCCAGCGCGTTCGTGAAAAGTAGCGTAGGAAACTGCCATTCTTAGATTCGTCTTCTTTCGCCATCCTCCCGTTGCTTTCCCATGAGGTATGGTCTCATCGTGACAAGCCGGAGATACTCTATGAGGATAATTGTCCGTCCATTGATACTTCGAACACAAATAGTGTAAAAAGACGCGCGCTCGCTTCTCTCTTTTTTGTCTTTTTTTTTCTTCTTCGACGGAAGTAGGGCAACCACCCTCGATCCTCGCTCGTCGCTCCGTACCAACTAGAATCATTTTGAGTACACCAACATGCAGATGGTCAAGCAATTCGCCTAGTACCATTCTTATCCCATGATCGGTTCGATGTATCTCAACACCGGAACTCTTAAATCGCTCATAGATTATTGTGATGTCACAATCACTTTACCTAGTAGGTATCTAGTAGGTAGCCAGACTTGTCTGCTGGGCATGAGGATTAAGATGGCAGATGACCGACCCCTTCCCTTCTCTTCCCCCCCTTTTTTTAATCATCTCTGTTCAATATTCGTTCTTAATCCACCCAAATCCCTTTATCAATAGTAGTACCTTTTTACCGATCTACATCTATTTTATTTATACGAGCATTGTATATACTACTACCTAGGTACTAGGTAGTTATTGCTAGCACAGAGTTTGCTGATAATGTAACAAAACATCCATTTGTATCGATGCTGTCAGATGCCACCTAATTGACGGGATTAGGCTAAACAAAAAAGCTCACTTTAGTTATTCGAAATCTGGATCTCCGACTGCGAACCAATGACACCTAATATGTGTGATCGCCTGATCTGTATAAGGGCTCAGATCTGGCGTGGGGCAATTCCTTATTCCAGTCCATACGCGTCGTCTTCTTATCTCACCTTGTCCTATGTAGGTCACAACGACGCCCGAGTTAAGGAGGCATGGCATGGCAACCCCCCCAATCCATCTTTGTCCTGATTATTTTTTTTTCTTCCCTCGCTCGGCCAGATCTAGAGGCTACAGCGGCTCGGCCCTGAGCGGGCATTTCGTAAATAGTTCGGGCTCGAAATCGACTCGGCCATCGCTGAGCCGGCTGTTAGCGGGTCAACCCTTCCCACCCTGCTGTAGGCGTGCATATTCGCCCATACATAGGTTGTATACCATACCTACTCTAGGTATTCGGTGTGATGTATTGCCTGCCTGGGCACACGAGGCCCCATAGCCCTGCCACGCGCAGCCCGCTCGGCCAATACCTGCATATATACCTACCTATGCAATATGTATGATGCTAGCTCACCTCGCGGCGATGTAGCCGTATAGAACTCTTCCGGCCTCGGGAGTCCCGCCTACCATAAAGTGACTGTTGCATGCGCTCAGAAGCGGGTACCCGCCGTTCTCTTACGTCTCTCTCGGGCGATTTGTACCATCTCATGCTTTCGCCTACTTTGGTACTTTAGTAGGTAGGTAAATACGTATGTAATCCTGCCATGGACCGGTTACCTATGTATGTGCATAGTGTCGCATCCAAATATGTACATACATACATACATAATACTGGCATGTGTGGGCAACGGGCGTACACAAAAAAAAAATACGCGCATAAGAGAACTACGACATATCTCGCTTCGCCTGCTGTCCTCTCCTATCCTATCATGGCCCATCGTATCGTATTATGGGCTTACCGGAGTGTAGCAAGTCACCACGGCGCCGGGGGACCTGGGAATATATTTCTGACAGGTCATATTTCCGCGCAGGGTTGGCAGACATCGTTTTGAATGGTTCTGCAGTGGACTCCACCTGTTTCCGTGGCTCAGGATTATTGGACCCTTGTTCTTTCAAGTTCTTCTCTCACGACTGATGAGTACATAGATACATTACCTACACACTACACTACACTACACTACACTACATACATGCATACCTAAGTGAGTACGTACATGTACCAGGTAAGCATTTTACTAGAATACACGCATAGTAGCCGGGCAGGCATGCAAGTGGGTCGGCTATCTCAGGAGTTTGAGATTTGAGAGATCGGATACCTCATGTGTGGGAAGCAAAGCACACCTAATTAGTGAGGCACAGGAGGAAGGAGGAAGCCGTAGAATCGAACGCTCAGCAGTGCTAAAAGTAGCAACGGGTACGTCCGTTGACAGATGTAAGCAACCAAATCGACAATCCTAGGATTTCTTCTTTTTTTTTTACGATACATACCTAGGTAAGGTAAGGTATTATGTAGTTAGGGGAGGGGAAGGGAAGGGGGGGTGGGAATCCAATCTTTTTTTTTTTTCTCTCTCTTTTCTCTTTTTTTCTACGAAGAAAAAAGCTGAGCTTGCCAGGGCTCCTCCTTCAAAAGTCAAGGGCCAAGATCAAGACTAAAATGAATCTGGGAATGTCACATGAACTTCCCTTACCTAAACGCGATGGGACTGTTCCCAATGCAACGCTCGGGAAACTCAGAATACTACGCTGTGGCTTGGTCCCGGCGATCACTGAAAGGCCCACTTCTTGAGTCCATTACCTAGTCCATTAACTCTAGTCTTCTATTAACTACGATATTAGTACATAGTACAATACATATAACTAACATGCTTATCATGACGAGGGGGAAGGACGGAATTGGCGACGTCCTATTGGCGCAGCAAACTCCGGTGAAAGGAGTGGTGATGGGACAAGCAGCCCACCAAGCCCACCGCACCAAATAATGTCAGGGGCTGGTCCTTGAATGAAATGATGAAATGAGATCGGGGTCCCTTTAATCCCGCCGTTAGATAGATGCATTGCAGGATCTGGCACTTCATACCTAACCTACATGATTCTTAGGTAGCTGTTAGCGACCACTCTCTGTCTCTGTATCTCTCTCACCTGACTGATCTGCTTCCTTCTACCTACCTCTGTATTCCATCACACACCAACCAAAGCTTGTCCTTTGGTATCCTTCACGTTCCAGCAGGATCCTTCGCCTATGCTTTACCGCCTGTGCTGTGTAATACTGACAATAATACCTACCACTAACTATATAATACAGACCAGCACCTACCTAGGGAAGGGGGCGAAGGGCAGTTCAAGCAGGGACTCTTTGACGTCGTGTTTTCTACATAACCGAAGACGAAGGGGGCCCTTTCGTCACCGGTACATGGTACGATATACATGGTAAAGAGATTTGTTACCTGTCACCTGGAAAATGAGAGGTTCGAAGAGCGACCAGGGTGTGTTGTCGACTGGCCCGGGAGTTCTGCAAATCACTTCTACTACCTAACTATATCCCAAGGAACCATTTATGTAGTACGAGAGAGACCACTTTATCAGAGATGGCTGTTTAACTAGGTACCTATTGTAGGTATCTAGGGTAGGTATTGTATTGTACCACACTTCATCACATTTCCATACATCAAGCTTGTACGGTTCTACTTAGTCAGAGGTAACTTTACCAACTCTCTTATTATGTAGTTTCGATGGAATGTTATGTTATGTAGATGGTCGCCGATACCTAGCTAGGAACCTACATACGGCAAACACTGCATCTCCTAAAATACCAGCATACCTAGGTAGTTACCAGCTCACGTGTGTAATGTGCTGTCGCCGCTGTTTCTCTCACTTTGAGCTCTATGAACCTCGTCTACGAACCTCGTCTGTACACCCTAATCCTTTCCCTATAACCCCCTTGTACTAGGTACCAAATCCATCGAATACTCTATTACCCCTTTGCCGATTCTCCGGTGGTCCGCGAATTATGGCGGCTATGGTTGACTCCTTCTCTTCTACTATCCCAGAGCTAATGACTTAATATGCTTCTAGACTCCTAGATCATATCCAAGATCACGATCCTATGCGTCGTATTGGCTTAGCCCGGCTTTGGCACCTCCCCCCCCCCCCCCCCCCCCCTCTCCCGTCCTTCCCCAACTAGTGCAACGCACCCTGAGATATTTGTACCATGTGTAGGTATACCTAGGTTAGTAACTACGGTGAGATGCCAGCGGCAAACAACTCTGGTCCCGAACACGATAGGTTTCAGTTTCATTGTTTCGAGCTTGGTTTTTTACTGACGCACATACGAACGAACCAACAAACCTTTCTAGGCAACAAAACTATTGTCTACCTAGTACCTAAGGTACCTTACCAGGTAGGTACCTACTATGCACGGGTTTACTTTTTTGTTTATTTCTTTTTGGGGGTTTCTTAGATCGAACATGTAACCAAAAATAAAGACGGTTTCTCCCTCGCCACCCCCCCCCCCCCCATGCAACCCCAGGTCGCGGCTCATCCCGTGCTACACAATACTAAAGGGGATGGCATTCCGCGGCTCCTTGCACGCGAGTAAGGAGTTGGTTCCCACGCGGGGCTGTAAGGTATGTAAGCCCTACGCAACCGAGGTTGTCGTTGGGTCCTTGAAGCTACTAGGTAGCTTACATACCTACATAGTATGTATGTATGAGGTTACCTGCCTACTTACCCAGGCAAAGTAAGGTAGTTAGGTGTACCTAATCTATTTACTTATGTACGCACGGTGCGCGAGCCTCTTCCCTTGGGCGGTTCCCGTCTTGATGATATGTATGTCTGGGTGGGTGATTAAGCAAGCGAGGCGAGGCATGGCGAAGCGAAGAGCAAGCAGGCAAGCAAGCAACCTTAGCAAGCAGCGCAAAGGACGCAAGGGAGACACGGCAAGATGCAGCCAGCCGATGGCCCTGAAACAAATTCAACCCAAACCTAGCATGAGCCACTTACTGTACTATGACAAGAAGCCACATACATATATACCTACACACACACACACACATACATGCGTTGGCCTTTTCCCGTTGCGTAATATGTCGTTCCGTCCACAAACCGATGGCGGATTCTTCACATATGATGTTATTCGCGACATTTTACCCACGAGCTTACGACTTGGTGGCGCACAGGAGAAGCAGGGGAAAAGACGAGAAAGGATTTGGTGGTCAGGGATTTGGTTTACCGTCTTTCTTTCTTTCTACCTTCCTTCTTCCTTATCGCAACCCGTCTTGAAAAAACGCTGCCGACGGGCCGAGAATAGTTGATAGAAGAAGAAGAAGAAGAGAAGGAGAAGAAGTGCCTGCATACTATATTGGGCATGTAGATAAGAATAAAGATAACAAATAGTTAGAGAATAAGCAAAAGAGACCTGTCGTTTCATTTAACTTTTTCTCGGCCTGAGCAACTCGACCCGATCTCTCGATTTCTCCATGCAATCTTGCAGGAAGGAGGCGTTTTCTTTCTTTCTTTCTTTCTTTTTTTTTCTTTTTCTTTTCTTCTTTTTCTCTTCTTCTTCTGATCTCATCTTATATCCATCCCCCTTGATTCGGCTTCCCCTTCCCATCCCACATCCCACATCCCACACCCATAATCCTCCCCCCCCCCTTCCCTTCCTCCCATCTTGATTATTACAAAGTATTATTATTTTTTTTCGCCGAGTCTCGCAGGCCAATCCTGGCCTTCCACATGCACCACCCATAAGCGGATAACGCACGCTTCCGGGTGGTTGCATGGCCGATACTCGATCTCGAATCATCGGCTTATTTTCCTTTCTAGTCGGATGTGCCCGCCGTATCAGAAATATCTAGGAATACATACATACACAATAACCTAGGTTAGAAGATACCCAATAGGTAGGTATAGTTATATCACAATAAAAAAAAAATCGTAGTGTTGCTTTCGCATATTTTGACTCTCGCTATGATTATCTATCTCTCGTTGATCCATCTATCCATCCGTCCATCTACTAATAGGTAGGTACTCTTTGTGCGTACCTAGTACATACATGTACGTATATTTGTGTGTGTGCTGTTGATCTGGAGCACTAAGTGCGTGCACGGGATCCTTCAAGATACCTACTTAGGCTTCGGATATCTAGTTGGTAGTCATACCTTCCTACCTACAACTAGCATTGTCTCTTGTCCTTTTGCATGTGCAAGTTTTGGACCCTGTGTATGATGTGTTCAGGGTTATTAATAATCTAGATACACATTTCTTTCTAAGAGTTGACAGAACAGCAAAACCGCCTTGCTGACCGGTCTCAAATCTGATATATCTGCGCCACCTTTTTTTGTTTGGGTTTGAGTTGGCTTGATATGTGACATGTCTCCCGAGCCTCGGCTAGCCCAGTTTCTAAGAAGGAATTCGGGTTCGTTATCGTGAAGAAAAAATAGGTAGGTAGGCATAGTTAGTTAAAAATAAAATAAACTAAAAGCGTGGCTGAATCAGGGTCCATTGGAAGCTATGTACGAGGGCATACCGAGATGACGTAGCCCCGTAGAGCATCGATGTACACAATACACATGTAGTTAGTTACATACCTACTATTACACCTCTCCAGTACCACTGCACGCTTCGGTTCGCCGAAAAGAATATACATACATATGTAAGTATAGGCAGGTAGGGTAAAGCAAAGAGACACTACACCACCTATGTAAAGCAGAAACATTGCGCAGCGCAGCGCACACACACACACACACACACACACACACACGCAGGCTCAGCTCCCATCCCATGCGACAATTACACGGTCGTCCACGCGGGCGGGCATTATGCGAGATACGAGCTACATACATACCTGCGCCCCTGCCCTCCCCTCCCCCCTTGGCATATCTCAGATTCGGCACTTTGATGTTGCCTCGCTGGTACCCTGGCCGGGGAAAATCAGATTAGTCAGTTGTAGAACCAGCTGATCGCGGGTGTGCTTCAGATTGATTGCATGCTTTGCTTGCTGCAACGCATGTATGTACGTGTGGCGCCGTCGGCGATGCGATGATGAATGCTTATGCTTGCTTGCTGCGTCTGTCTGGCTTCCGAGGCCCCTAAGCTAAGCTAAGGGTAGGGTGACTCACGCTTTTTTTTTTTGGCTTACGTCTTCCGAGGTTTCTTGTTTGCGTAACTGGCTTCCAAGGTTGGTAACTTGGACTGTAACTAAGTAGGTTGGTTAGGTAATTACCTACCTCCAGGTTTTGTTACCAACGTTGATGATCAGTATTTACTATGTAGGTAGGTACCTAAATAGACTACTTGAAACAAGTTGCTCTCCCTCTCGTCAAGGATTGCGGGTAGGTATGCATAAGGGGGGCGTAGCGATATAAAAAAAACATAAGATAATGACATGACTGCAGTGAGTTATAGGAAAAAAGGGGGAGCAATGACTCGGAATGATGATGAATGCTTCAATATCAGGATATCGTCAAGGACTTGACTCGAGAAGATGCTATGCGAATGCATTTCGGCTTTTACCTATTTAGGTAGATTCAATGCCAAGGCAACGTACATGGCATCCAAGGTTGTGAAGCTCATGAACACCACGGCTCCCATGCAAAAAATACCCTGATCAATGTGACGTGCCGGCATGATGCTCTACCAACATCATACATGATGCGAGTTTGTATTGGAAGCTGCTCATATCGTGGCTGTCATTCATATTGCCCTTCATGTAATAGTCCAGCCTTGTTAATGCTTCTTCACAGGCAGCATACTAGGTACCTACCCAGCTAGCTATGGTCGTAGTGACCAGATCGTCGAATAGAACTCTATACCCCTGGGCACTTCCAAGACTTTAGAAGTTAGGATTGGATTAGAACATTCTAGTTCCCTCCCTATACGTCGAATAGTCCTAGGGCTGCATATGGAGATTGAAAGGGGAAGGCTCTTAATGTATTCGAGGTTGTCTTGAACATTGTTGGTTCGCGCCAATAGCCGCAAGTCACATTCCGAGGTTATCATCTAGAAACCCCTTTCAGAATGCCCATTTTCCAGAGGCAATTAATATCATAGCGTGGTAGAGCCTTAGGTGCGAGCGACTTCTCAGGGGTAAGGCGGATATCCAGATAGGTATCAACGCTTAACGGATTGTCTCGAGACTCCTTATATAAGGAAGCCGGGAACTCATACTGCTGATTGTAGCCTTTGAGAAACTTACCGGGTTATCAATCTTCTGATACCGTAATTTCTTACATAGCACAAGGAAGGGTGAGCGCCTCGTAAAGATAGGTCTATGGCCGACAGGTACCTCGATGCCTCACAGGCATAATCGAATTGCAGGAGTGATGGTTACATACCTGGGTAGAAATTACATAACCAGAAGTTGCAGTTTGCGCCTTCATCGTTGAAGTTCTTTGTATATGAGGTGGGGCCTTCCATATACGACGAAGATGCACGGCACAAATACCGATCATGTGTTGCATCCGATTGAACGGGAAAGATCTATACGGGATGTCAAGGGACCCGTCCATAGTACATAGCAATAATTTAGACGTATGCTTCTCTCCGAGTTTGAAGTATCATGAAAACTGGATACCGACTAGGTATCAGTAAGAGATTCGTGGAAAAGAGGTAGGACTCAGGCGATCGAAATAAGATGCATGACACCGGTAGGTATGAATCTACCATAATGAAAACATCGCATAAATCACCCTGATCATCTATATGCCCTTAGTAGACCATGCTCCCGTAGTACCCTGCCCCTATTCGTAGCTCATCGTCTGCGCCTTTTCTATGCTTTCCTACTCTAAGTGCACACATGCTCGCAGTAATCTCATTCGAAACAAACGGAAAGTAGGTACGTATGCCCCCCCCCATATCATCCCCATCGCCGCCACTTCATCTCCGCCTCGCCCCCCGGCGGCGGCGGCGGGCCGGGCAGGATCTCGCGCAGCAGATCGTTGATATCCTTGCCGACGGCCTGGACATCCTGCCACTGGCGCGGGTACCCAAGGCTGACCTCCTCGAAGCGGACGCCGTCCTTCCAGTCGGTGCGGGGCACGTGCAGGTGCCCCGAAACAACCACCTTGGTAGTCGGGAACCTCGTGTGCCAGTCCTCCGTCGCCTTCGTCCCGCACCAGAGGCTGAAGCGCGGCACCTTGGGGATGAACACGAGGTCCTGGCGCAGCGGCCAGTGGTTCGCGATCACGAGCGGCAGGCTGTCCGGGTTCTCCGTCTCGAGCCGGCGCGCGAACCGGCGCACGAGCGCCTCGCACCACGCGTCGCGCGAGGGGTGCGGGTCCGGGTGCAGCAGGAACTCGTCGGTGGCGACGGTGTCGGCGGCCTCGGCCCAGCGCAGCGCGCCCTCGCGCGTCACGTCCGCGGGGCGGAAGCTGTAGTCGTACAGCGTGAAGATGGGGGCGACGAGCGCGGGCCCGTCCTCGCCTTCCCAGCGCACGAAGGGGTCCTCGGGCGTGTGCACGCCGTGCCGCCGCGCCACCTCCACGCAGTGCTCGTACTTGGCCTCGCCCCGCAGGTCCGGCCGTGACGACCCCATCGTGTACAGCTCGTGGTTGCCCGGGCACCAGAACACCTCCTTGAAGTTCCGCTTCCCGGCTTCGAAGGCTAGCTCGAGGTGCTGCTCCGTCTCCCCCACGTCGCCGCATAGGATGAGTCCATCGTTGGGATGCGGCTTCAATTCCTGGAGTGCCTTGCGGTTGTACTCGTAGCTGAGATGGAGATCTCCGATGGCGTAGAGTTTCATATTTGTGCCCTCGCTGGCATTATTTATTTATTTGAGGCTAGATAGGATGATGAAAAGATAAGAAATCTTCAAATGTTGGAATTCAATGAGTCTCTTTCTACGAGGAGGTACGTAGTAGAGGTACTGTACAGTAATCTGAGTAACCCCGAGGATCCAATTATATCTCTGAATCCTGCTTACCTGAGATACCTAGATAGGTACTTAGGTACATGTACTTCAATACGCCTACTTCTAAAGTCTGCTCTTTTATTCACTCTTCCTTCCTTTCACTTCCTCACTTTCTCTTTATATTTTACATTGACTACCTAAGTCATACACATATCGCACCTCAAGCAACGGTAAGACGATCCCTAGTGAACTTTTAGAGGAGGTTAGCGGGGAACGGAAAACACTTGGTACATATATGTACTTCTACATATCTTGAAAAGAAGGAAGAATATTCACCATCTTCTATCCTTTATTACTTAATTATTGATCCCCACGGTCACGATAGCATTCATTGCCTGGTTCGGATCAGCAATCGTGCTCTAGCTAGTCCATGACGATCAGAGATCATCCCCGAGAACATACTATATCCGATGATGTAGGATGTTTAAAAATGCACCACCCGCTCATTACTGCAACATTTGCCTTCGGTCAATGCCGCAAACAACATGACGAGGCTCCAGCGAAACGTAGGTCCTATTCATCTATTAATCCTAAGCCCACACATGAAAGATTATACAAGATCTAGAACCACACCTGATAAACGAACAAGATGAACACGTGAACAATTCTATTAGGGCGATATTTTACTCCATCACTAGTATTATATTATTTCTCGATTACGACCATTATACTCGGCGAGTGTTTATATCGCCGTCCATTTCATATATGTAGTGGTCTTGTCCACTCACCTCAGACGGAACCCCAATGGATCCATGCAGTTCGTGGACTGGGTTATACCACGACTTTGTAGGATCTGTCGGCGGAAGCTCAGATATCCGGTTTGCTTGTCGACTTTCATTAATAGGGGTCGGGGAATCCGTTGCTGCCTGCGTGAATTCAGCTTGGCGGCGAGCCCGTCGAAGGTAAAATAATATGCCTAGCCCCAAGATGCCGAGCCCTACAACTACACCCACGACTACGCCTGCAATAGAGCCCCCAGAAAGGCCTGTCGCAGCTTGAGAATTTTGAGAGGTATCGGGGGACGATGCATTCGAGTCTGGAGTAGATGTCCTATTCCCACACTCTGCATTTTCGTTCGTTACGACGGACACAAGCTTGCTATCCGACGTAGGGTTGGCTTGCCACAACGTAAATGTATCAGAGTCCTGGTCAATCATCAAGTAGGCGGAGGTCAGGAAATAACGGCCAAGCGTGGCGGGCTGGTCTGCCAACCCACCGATCAAGAGCTCCCGCTCAGACGTGTTAAAAAAACGAGAACCGTTACGATCAATGTCGACAAACGGTACCATGTATTGGCTATTCGGTATTCGAACGTCTAACCCCGTGGAGAGGGATATAGTCAAGTCGCCATCGAAGCTAAGAACGTGTGAGAACCAAGTTTTAGAAATAGGGGGCATACCTATGGGTATATGGGTACGTATATAATAACGAGTGGCTTGGGAAGAGGCTTACTAGTCTGATGCATCGTATAAATACGCGGACCAATGTAATCCATACGACAGCCCAATATTCCTCGTATTCGTTGCGTTCTCGAATGTAGCGATCATCGACTCTGGGGCTTCGAGGAGTAGTTGGCGTTGTGGCACGATGCAGGCATGAATCTCAGTATTTGCTGGTAGGATATTGATATTTTCTCCGGTACGTATGTTAAGAGTGACCTTGGAGATATGTACCATCATGCCCGTCCAGCATCCAGTATTGTCACTGAAATCCAGCGGTTGGGTATAGTTTTTTCCAATGACTTTTTGTTGGTCGTAACCACCAAACACAATTGAACCGTCGACGGCGCCATCATCCACCCACATGTGGCCCCAGAAGATTGACCACACTCGAGAACCTATTTGGCCTGTTTGGAACAAAGCGTTGAGAATTGTCGAGTTCGTCCCCATACCCATCGCATGGAGTATTGTGTAGCCGTGGTCCCAACCTGACCTAGGTATGCCTATGGGCATACCATTGATCCTGTTGCTTGAATCGAAACCGAAGTCATCTGTTCCCCCGAGGCTTGAATAGATAAGGTTTCCGACGCCTTGTTCTGACCCGCGAGCTTGGGTTTCAGTAGGAGCACCACCAGCAGCAACTATATCGTCTGCTTTCACCCAAGTAGACGAGTCTACTTCCAGATAATAGTTGCCGCGGCGTACCTGGCAGATGGTACCGTTCCAGATAATCGTAGAATCACAATATGCCTGTTCATCATAGATCCAGGTGTTATTGAGGTCTCTAGCAAAAACCTTTGTAAGGAAATTTTCAGAACGCAAGGGGAATGGGGGAAAACTAACGGCCAGGGCAACAACACTATATTCTGAGGTGGTGTTCCAACCGTTGCTGCAATTCCTCTCATAAGAGAGTTTGGTATTTCCGGTAACACCTGGACATCTTTGATTGGTAGTTGGAAAGGTTCAATATCATCACAGGACATCGCGTGAATAAAACTTAAGGCAACAACCTGAACAAAGAACGTAAGCTTCATTGTGATCTGAAAGGTTAGACACTAGTTATGATTACTTGAGGAGGCGGGAACTCCCACGATACTAACTACCTAAGGTCAGAGCCAGCCTTACGATAATTAAGAGCAACAAACCCCGTCGACCAACTCGGTTTTCCGCACCCCAGTCCTATTCCGTGTCGTTGGCGCCCCCCAGGCCATACCCGACGCCACAGTCATAACAAGACGGGGGCTGGCATCACTATTCCGAGTCAAATGTAAGAAGTTTAAAAAAAAGGAACGTCGCGCCACGTTATCATTGATTTGGTGACTTTGCTTCCCAGGAATAGAGATCCATCCAATCAGAGTATCGTTGTAACCTCAAGATAATTATACCTTGTCAGGGGAATACCGCTGGTTGGTCACTTTAATGTATGTTGGTAGCAAACATTATCTTGGTGTCTCCTGAATAATTTTACCCGCAGGGGCCCCATAAACGGCTGCCGGCCCCAACTTACAATATCAACTTACAACACTGGCAGTTGACGTCCGCGGGTAATTGACAACCTGGAAACTTGAAAGAAAGAAAGTAAGAAAGAAAGAGAACACTTATGTAGCTGTAGAGCTACCAACACATCGAGTAACACATCGAGTAACACATCGAGTAAATCTACGAGCGAAGAGCAAAGCTAATGATTCAACAATCAACACTCCATAAACTAACATGTTAAACACCATGGGAGCAATCCTACGGCGACCCAGCCGAGTCGCAACCATTTTAGCCTGCACATGCATATTCTATTTCTTCGTCATATTTCTGCCAAGGTACAATGAAGCGCCTGCAAGATTGCGCGAGTATGCGTACGTCAAGAGCAGCTTCGACTGGTCGAGTCTACCACAGCGACACCCCGTTCCCAAGTCCGAGCTAGCCTCCTTGCCCAAGGGGAAGCCATTGTCTCTTCCCAAGGTCCAGTTCGCATTCAAGAAGGACAAGAGCTCGGCGGGCAAGATCCGAGCTCAAACGGCCGCGAACCGCCGCGAAGAAGTCAAGGCCGCGTTCCTCAAGACCTGGTCGAGCTACAAGGAGCACGCGTGGATGTATGACGAGCTGACCCCCGTTTCCGGGAATGGCAAGAACACATTCGGAGGCTGGGCCGCGACGCTGGTGGACGCGCTAGACGCACTATGGATCATGGACCTGAAAGACGAGTTCTACGAAGCCGTCGCGGCTGTCGCAACGATAGACTGGGATGCGACGGACGAGACCGCCTGCAACTTCTTCGAGACCACCATCCGCCACCTCGGGGGCCTCCTCAGCGCGTACGACCTGAGCCGCGAACCGGTGCTGCTGCTGAAGGCCGTCGAGCTCGGCGACATGCTGTACGCCGCCTTCGACACGCCGACGCGGATGCCGCCGTTCTGGCTGGACTTCGCCAAGGCGAAGGAAGGGGTCCTGCGGCCCGGCACGCACGACCCCTCGGCCTCCGTCACGTCCTCCTGCCTGGAGTTCACGCGCCTCGCGCAGCTGACGGGCGAGGATAAGTACTACGACGCCATCGACCGCATCACGCGGCTGCTCGACCGCGCGCAGAACGAGACGCTGCTGCCGGGCATGTGGCCCACCTTCTTCGACATGGAGAACCTGAACCTAGCCCAGGATAACGAGTTCACCCTCGGCGCGCTCGCGGACTCGCTGTACGAGCTCCTGCCGAAGATGTACGCGCTGGTGGGCGGGCTGGAGCCGGTGTACGAGAAGATGTACCGCGAGGCGATGGAGACGGTGGCGAAGCATCTCCTCTTCAGGCCGATGACGCCGGATCAGAAGGATATACTGTTTTCGGGAAATGTCTACGTTAGGGAGGACGCTAGGGTTGATTTACAGACTGAAGGGCAGCATTTGGGTTGCTTTGTTGGCGGCAAGTGAAACTAGTTCTTTTTATTCATCATCGTGATCATGGCGGGAGAATGCCCCTTTTACGGACCCCTATTTTATAAATTATCTTCCCATCACCGCTCTAACATCTATCTCATGTAGGCATGTTTGGACTAGGCGGCAAGCTCCTGGGAATCCCGGAACACGTCCGGATCGGCGAAAAGATCACGCGCGGCTGCGTCTGGGCATACGACGCGATGTCCACCGGAATAATGCCAGAAATCTTCGGGCTCATCCCGTGCCCCACACTCGAGGCGTGCGCGTGGGATGAGAATCAATGGCAAGCCAGAGGCGACCATTCCCTCCAGAAGGGGTTCCAGAACGCCCGGGATCCCCGGTATCTGCTGCGCCCCGAGGCGATCGAGAGCGTCTTCCTCATGTACCGGATCACCGGCAACCCGGAGTACCAGGACATGGCGTGGCGCATGTTCACGTCCATCCGCGCGGCTACCGAAACCGAACTCGCGTTCTCGGCGATTGCCGATGTGACGGCGAAGGGGGCTACGGAGAAGATGGACTCTATGGAGGTAAGACCCCCCCCCCCCCCTTTTTTTTTTACAAAGATAAAGCAAATTAGAAGATAAAGGAGCTTCTTCACTTAGGATTACAAGACATCGCATATGCTAACTGGAAACAGAGCTTTTGGCTATCCGAAACGCTCAAGTATTTCTACATGATCTTCTCGCCGCCGGATGTGATCAACCTAAACGAATACGTCCTGAACACCGAGGCACATCCCCTCAAACGTCCTTGAGCTATAGAACAGTTGCAAGCATGACTGTTGCAGTACCAGTCAGACCACACGGCAGACTAACAGGCTGGGAAGTAGGTAATCATGGAATAATGCGTCTAGTCGAGTGGAGTCCAGAGCGAGAAGATCATATACCTAGGTGCATTACCTATTCTGCTCAAAACCACTCAACGCAAAAGTCAGGTTGCTAGATCAGCGGGAAGCCAAAGACTCCCCTGTGAAAAGGACCACAGCACTCCAACCTTGGGCCTAGATAGAGCCCGCTACGCTCAAGTGTTGATAGCAGGTCGTTGAGCTCCAGCGGTACCTAGGCATACGAAGAGTAAGCGGGCACCTAGGGATGCAGAGACATACCTAACCTAGAAGGTTATGTAGGGACAAGCCTCCCCCACTGCTCTAGGCAACTTGGGCAAAGCCAAGACGTGTAAAGGCCAATGCATCTTTAAGCATATCCATAGATGTCAGTTTAGCTTGGCACAGTCTGTGCGGAATGAGCGCTTATAAAAAATTTAAAGAATAGTTAACTAATAGGAGAAAAAAAGAGAGCCCTGGAGAGGAAGATCTGGTAATCTTGCCGTGAAATCTTCCACTTCAGCACTAGCTCGTATAGGCATCTCTCAACTATCAATGGATCTTTCCGAAGTATTGGATACTTCGTACATAACCTAGTCGGTACTTCGTATGGATATATTTCCCAAACAGGCATATGAGGATGTTGCCGAAAGTGGGTTTTCGATCTACTCTTGGCCCCGTCCTTTTGGGCCCCCCCGTCCCGGACCTGAGCCCGATCCCCCGATCCCTTCCCGCCACCCCGGTTCCATGGGGCCCAGCCGGCCCCGAACAATCTATCTTTTCTCCAAGCATCTGAGAAAAAGTTGAGTAACATTTTAGATCCGTTGTATCGAAGACGATTACGGTGCATACATACATACATCATACATGAAGAATATTCCTGCTCCTTGGCACCGGAATCATACAGCCCCCTTTAAATGACCTCGCTTGAGCAACCAACAACATCGTATGTAGGCAGATAGGTAGGATTTAACTAGGTAGCTAGCATAACCAACGCGCTCTTGAGGCACGACCGACTCGTAGGAATGGGCAAGTAAGCACCTAATTAGTAGTGTGTATGTATGTAGATGTAGGCATCGCTTGTCTCGGTCAAATACATACCTACCATAACCCACCTATATGCGCCTACCTTACCTAGGTACACAACCCCCCGTCGTTCAAGGAGAAAATCTCCCGTTGTACCGTACTTACCTACCTATATCCCGGTAGTTATGTATATACAAACAGTACTTCTCTCGTTCTCTCTCTCTCCCCCTCCGATCTCACGTCGCCGAGCCGCTATCTTTCCATCCTAGAAACCAACAAAACCAAACTTTGCCCGACCACGTTTCGCGCTTCCCAGTGCTAGGTAGGTAATGTACATACATACATACTCCGACGTCACAGCGGCATTCGATGGCAACATACCTACATACCCACACACTTACACCCATACCTAGGAGGTAACTATGTAGTAGGTACACAGGTATGTGAGATCCAAGTTCATACCCACCTGGCAGGTAACTGCATGCATGTAAGTACCTACTTATTAATGTAGCTTATAATGCATTGTACCCAATACCTACCTACCCAGTGTACCAATATGCATCCACGAAGAAAGCCAACACAACCAAAAATCTGTAACGCACCGCCGTCGTGATAGGCATTGTACCTACCTACCCAACCACATGGTAACCAAGCTGGCAGCTAGGCTTAGGAGGTAGGGCTGACGATCAAATCTCATCACCCCCCCAGCCCCAACAGGTCCCTTCCCCCCCAATTAATTCCCCTACGAAAGCACAAACTGGAAACAAACAAATAAACACTAACTACCGTACTCCCTAGGTAACCTACCTTACCTACCCATCCCAGCAGTCGGGTAGACGGCACAACTAGGTCGGTATGTACCTAGGTAAAGTATTACCTACGACAAATCTCGGTTCCGTAGAAGGTAACTAGATGTAACTAGTTATATTAAACAAAGTACAGAATCTCTAGAATCAGCTTGTGGGTCCCGGGCTCGATAGGCTACCTATGTAGGTACTGGGTAGGTAGGTAGGTCGCCGAGGTAGGTATTGTACAAGTACCTACCTATATTATAAAGCCGTTGGGCGGCCCGATAGACCGCTCGCTGTAAGCTTACTCGCTTACTACTTAGGCATAGATAGACTATATGGGTTATATTGGCTATGAGTATACGATGGGTAGGTAGGTAGGTAGGTAGGTAGGTAGGTAGGTAGGTAGGTAGGTGTCTCAAGAAGTATTCCAAGGCCAGCTTTGGGACGGAGTTGAGCCATTTGTCTAGGCTAGGTAGGTATCTGTGCGAGAAGGGGGAGCTGCCTAGGAGCCAAAGGAGCCAAACAGACAGGCAGGCATCTAGTTATCTAACCTAGTTATCTAGTTATCTAGTGTATCTCTTCGTCGTGACCGCTTGGTCATGAGGCGGAAACTCGAAGACGCAGAACAACATCGTTATTGCGCGGGGAGCTCTAACATCTCCCCGGAGACCACCTAGATATGAAGCTACCTAACCTAGGTAGGTATGGACACGTGTAGCTGTCTCTGTTCTAACTACATATCCCCCCATGTAGTCCCTAGGCAGGCAGACTCTACCTCAGACCGACAGGAGGATCCGACGGTGGCCGAGTAGCCGCCCCGGAACAATGTACGCTGGACACCTACGATCTCGCTTGGAGGAACAGTTAGAGCATCATCATGTATGTGTTTTCTTTTAAGGGTTGATATGTACCTGGGTAGGTAGGTAGGTAGGTAGGATACTCTGGAACGGACGTGGCCCCTTTTTTCCTCCTATCACGGGATGCAGGATTTCATATATATAGCATTAGAGTAGCTCTATACCCCTAGGGGGTTTGCGAGGGCAGGTCTTTCCCCTTGCCACGGCGTGAAAGATGCTAACTAGCTAACTAACCTAGGCAGACTCTTAACACGTTTTGAGGTTGGGTACGTTGGCTTATTCGAGGTAGGTAGGTAGGTAGGTATTAGTGCTGGATGGACAGACGTGAGCCGGAAGGGAGAGTAGAGAGAGTAAGGACATGCCCTTAGTATAATGCTGAACGTATAGTAATATCTGCTTGCCTACCTAAGGCAGATACTAGGCAAGTAGATAGGTCAACCTACCTAATACCAAGGTAGGTATATATCGTTAAGAGTACCTACCTACCTAACTAGATAGTCATCAGTTTCCATCATCACATGCCTCTGTCTAGTAGTCCACATAGTTAGGTATGAGTTGCATCACGTAAGTACAACATAAAACCTACGTACCTACCTAGGTAGGTATACCCAGAAGCAGTAGCCCTTGTGAAGCTAGCCATGGACGCGTCGAACAACTCGCGTGCTTGAATTATATTATAGACACCTCCCTACATACCTAGATACTAGTCTATCATTGCACGCTGAATTCTTGAAATCCTTTCATATAAGCTAACCTGGATATTTCCCCTGGCCGAGCGCCTACGATAGAACCTAAACCCCCTTTTCGATCTAGTTTACATAGCTCTTGCTAGGTAAAATTACCTTCACCAACGAACAAATCCATGCATCCCCACGATTTTATTCAGGAGAATGCATCTCCCATAGAAGAATGCTTCCTTCTCAAAAGAATGATATGTCCCGAATAAAATTCCTGGGGTGCATGGAATCATCGGGTGAAGTTTAGAATGATTCTCACGAATGGGGGGTTCCCGCTACTAGGCACGTACGTACCTACCTAAGCACATCAGTCGTGATAACACCCGCACCATGTATGTAAAAGGGGGCTTTGGGAGGTGCCGGTGCATAGAGTAAGTGACTACGCATACAGGACATATCCTGGGGCAGCATTCCTCGCGATTATGTTCACAGGGTTTCAAAGGACCCAATCTCATAGCTTATCGCTGGTATATAGAGGTAGGTATGCAGTTAGGTACCTACTTGAAATTTCCACATCACCGGCTACTCGCTACCCCAAGACCACGAGCAAGGCTAGTAGTAGGTATATGCAAATGTGCCGTGCCTATCTACTCAGACACACCTTCTCCTGAACCGCTCTACCCTCTAGAATGCTGTCTATAGCTTCCAGGTAACCTAGGTTTCTACCTAGGAAGTACTCAAGAGATGCTTTTCCTCACTCCATGCCTCACACCTTCCACCCTTTCCCCTCCCCTCCCCTCCCCTCTCCTACACCCACCCCTATCCCATCACCCAGCCTTCCTCAACGAGTTATAGTGCTCGCCCAGCCCATACCCATGGCGATAATACGCGAGCCAAACCGTCTTCCTCTCTTCCCCTCCACCGCCCCCCACACTCGGCTCAATCGTCTCCGTCCGCCCATCCTGCACGACCCTAATCTCAACACCATACGCATTCGCCAGCGCCGTAAGCTCGAGCTGCCCGCCCCACTCCGCCGTGTCCCGCATCTTCGCCACGTACGTGTCCAGCGGCTCCTCCAGGAACGGCGCGAAGTCGTCCGCGTGGGTCGCCATGTACGCTGTCGCGGCTCTGCGGACAGTTTTGTAGGGCGGGACTTCGGTATCAGCGTTGGTATTGTTGGTAGAGGAGGTAGCAGCGGTTAGAGCCACGCCACACACCAGCAACTGATCCGCCACCGCCGCGAACAAGCAGTGCCCGTCGGGGCGTATCTCCTTCTCGACGAGCCCGTGCGCCGCGAACGCGCGCCGCAGCGACGTCTGCTCTTCCGTCCGGTGGTCCGTCATGTTGGCCGCCTCCTCTTCTGCTGCTGCCGCCGCGGCTTCCTGCTCTGCTGCGCGACGCGCCATCCGCTCTTTTTGCCGGTTGCGTTTCTTGGGCTGCGATAGTTGGGCTGTGTTTGAGATTGCTGCTTCGGCGTTGTCGTTGGTGTCGGAGGAGGGGGAAAGCGTGGTGTCTTTTAACTTCTGGCTTATACCGTTCGTCGGGTCCGCGGGCGTCGGCGTGTCGTCGTCGTCTTCGGTATGTGGGTGGCGGTCCTCTCCTCCGTCCGGCGTATCGTGTACGTCTCCATTCAGTGTAGCGATCTCTTGCTCGTGCTTCTCCTTGAGTTGCTTCTCGAGCTGAGCGCACTCGTCGTTGACTCCCTTCCGCGTCTTCTTCGTTGCGTTCTTTTTCTTGCTTGTGATTCGCGATTGCAAGTCGCGTTGCTCTTTGCGATGCCGGGCTTGCATCGTTTCTAGAGCCTCCATCGTTGCTCGATCTGATGTTGGTCTTTGCCTAGGTACCTAGGTAGTCCTTGACTCAATCGGGTAGTTCCGAGTTTTTGCTTGATTGGATTCTAAATACGAGCTAAGAAGAGAGCTCCGACGAAGTTATTTGGCACTGGACTGAGTATTGTTATGTTATGTTGTGTTGTGTAGTGTTGTGTTAAAAGGTTTCAGATGTTGATTATTGGACGTGGGGTTGAGCTTGGGTTGAGCTGCATGGCATGTGGTAGCTAATAGTTAGCCCTGAAGATATTATCGCTAGGATCCAATATGGCGGGGTAGCTCGCTGAAGAACTTTAGGTACCCACCTGCAGCAATGCAACTATTGACCAGACCTTGGTACCTGAGTTTAGAAGGTACCCATGGGCCTAAACACTTGTAACGGTCCTAACGGATACCCCTAACTTATAACCTACCAGGTGATATCTTCAGATTACCATTATGCCAGTCTAAAACGGCCATAGCACGTAATAACATATTCACACGCAAAGGCCATCCAAGATTCAATAAAAATATCATGTAGTTTACCAGATTGATTCGTAAAAACTGATTCGGCGATCCAGTTTAGGCACATTAGGAGTATATAAAAGGAGAAGGACAACAACAACAACGCCCAAAAGCAATGCCACCATAGTTTCAACGGACTAAAAAAGGACATGGCGTGGCCGCAAACTTTTCGGATTCCTCCTCCTTCTCCTCCCTCCCCCCATCCCTCCTCCATTTCTCCCTATCTTGCAGATCCAAGTCCTCGAAGCCCGTCTATCCAGCTCAGAAACATTGATGTGTTTGACGCCAGGTCCTGGAGATGGGCCACGTATGTACACACGTGCCATTTTTGGGGGTATAATTTCTTAGATAACCCAAGAACGCCACCTCATAAGCCTGTTTACCGTCTGGCAAAGCAGCACATGATTCCGGTTCGGCCCAAGAACCAGCAGCAGCCGATGAAACGGACCAAAGACAGGATGGCAGTGCAGATAAGTAGGAACTTGAAGAACTGCGCCGTGCGGTCCGATGTCGTACCCTATACAACGCATTAGTACACATACTCTTTCATTCAATTCTGGTTACTAATAGTAAACTTACCTCGATACCGAATGTCGACAACCTGGTACTGGTCACACCAACGATGAGAGCACAGTTCGAGAACAGCCACATGATGACCAGCGACGTTCTGAAAGACTTGTACGAATCCTCGAGATCCTTGCTCTCCACTTCCTCCTCCGGCTTGAAAGGAGTCAAGGCTCGCTTGACGGTCGCTTCGAACTGGCTGTCGATATCTTCCTGAGGCTTGTCGATTTCTTCGATGGCAGCCTCACCCTTTTCATCCTTTACAATCTGCGCGGCAGGCAGCGCTTCAGCTTTGTCTGATCCCTTGGTACCCCACGACACATCGTGCCAATTGTTGAAGGCGTAAACCATCAGAATGTTGATATACGTCGACATAAGAACCATGTAGGCCGGGAAGGAGTGGAACATGTGCCACGGGTCCAAGTACATGAACGAGGCGATGTAGTACAAACCGAATGTCGCAAGCAGTGCCAGAATAATAATTGCTATCTCGGACTGGCCAGTAAACATTGCCTTGAGAGCATCACCAGCATTCTGTCCAGTAGGCAAGTTCTGAGGCTGGAAGGCAGAGATGACCAAGTAACCAGAGAGGATGAGGATGTAGAGCTGGATGAAGCCGAACACACCGAACGATATGATGTAAGTCCACTTGGAACCCTTAGGACGGTTACCCAAGGCTAGGACGAACTGGAGGATAAGGAAGGCAATGTACAGATACTGGAGAATGGCATTGATGATCGGAGAAGCAGTATCACCGAAAGGCCATCCGTGTCGCTCTGCCGAGGTATTGCTGGCTTCCACAGGGGTTCCGACAAGTTCCATGATAACAGTGGTGGTCAAGTAGTACGATGCCAAACTGAACCAAGTGAATAACAGATTGGCAAAGTTGTAGATGAGTTGGACGTGGAAGAAGAACATGCGCAGAATGTTGTGGCCACTCTTGTACATGCGGCCGAAGTGCATCAAGGAGTAAAGCGAGGCAGCGAACGAACCGTTAAGCCAACGTCGTCGCTGGCTGATAAATTCGGGTGCTCCTTCGGGCACATCCGTCTCACCCTTGGCAGCCTTGATGTACGTCAGATGCCACTTGGAGCCAGCTTTGGCAACAAGTTCGAAACAGAGGATACGATCCTCAGCTAAGAACATGTTCTTCTTGAAAATGTTCATACCCTCGATACCCTTCTTACCGAGAATCTTGGAGAGAGTGTGATCACCGTGGAAGTACTGCTCTAGAGGTCGGCCCATGATGGCTCGGAATCTGTATGCGGAGAAAGCACCGGGCAACACAGACACATAACCAAAAGAACTCTCCAGGGGCTTATCGAGAATGTTCGAGATTTTGTACTCGAAGTTCTGGACAGCGACAAGAGGGTTCATCAGCTTCTTGCCACCCTTACCCAACATGGCGTGAATTTCACCACAAGCACCACCTAGATCCTTATCGTTGTAGAAACCTTCCCAGAGTGCAAGAAGCGACTTGGTGCCGGGCTTAGTACCAGCATCGAGCAGAATGCACACTTCGGGGTTTAAAATTCGGCCGAAGGCATTGAAAAGCCAACGATGGGAGTTGATCTTCTTGGTGTTCTTCTGCTTCAGGCAGAAAATCATCTGAACGGGTGGGAGGGTTTGGGGGCTGTCATCCATCGGTCTAATGAGCTGCTGGTTGGGCGTCACCGACAGCTGAGTAGTGTATTCGAAGATATGCGCGACCGTCTCCTTGCCGCTGACTTCCTTCTTCAGAACACCGTCCTGGAAGACACCAATGGTGGCCAAGACGTCGAGTGTTTCCTTATCCGCGTTGCCAATACCGTCGAAAACGAAACAGACGACAATCTTTTGCCAGGCAGGACCGCCCTTGTTCCAAAAGGTGGACTTCTTGAGGTTGACAATGTCACGAATGTTTTGCATAGCACCGTGGAGAGTTCGAGAAAACAGCTGCTTGTCTTCGTTGTAGTATGTGATGGCAATCAACAGCTCCGTGTGTCTGTTATACATTCTAGGTCGAAGATCGTAGCCATTTTTCAGGGTGAAGTCGTTAGGATCGCAGGTCGCAGCCGTATATCGCATATTGACGAACTCTCCAGTACCGCTCTCAGCATCACGGTACTTGGCTTGTACGGCATTCTTGATAGCACTAGGCACGGGGTAATCGACGCTCAGGACTGAACCTTGCACCAATTTAACCTTTCGCGTGGCATAACGCTTTAAACCGCCGCCGTTGCCGCCAGGTTGCTGACGGCGTAGCCAGCTTTCATCGGTGTCGACAGTGGATGCTGGTCTGCCGTAGCCAAAACCAGTGTCCTGAAGCTGATGCCCGCCAAATCCTCCCCCGTACTCACCATCATATTGGGGTGCAGGCGACTGGGTAACAGGAGGTGCGGTAGTCGCATAAGACTCGGTCAAACTATAAGCAGAAACGGGACGGGCAGGGGGAGTATCTGCGCCCAACCGATCTTGCTCGTAGTGTAGACCAGGAGTTTGGCCTAGGAGATGGCGTTGCGATTCATCTTCGTCTTGGTCGTGAGGAGGCAGATGATACTAGATGAGACGAATTCTAAATTAGCTGTGTGACCTTGTCGATACATAACATATAACAGATGGGAGGGTAGATAATAGATAGCACAGAGCACAGAGCACAGAGCACAGAATAGATAATACTAAGCTGGCAGGTGCTAGGTACGATGTAGGTACTATGTAGGTAGAGAGTATGGATGAATCCAAGACGATGGTTAAGGTTAAAGTTTTACATACCGTGCTGCCAGCAGGCATGTCTTGAAGCCTGTGACTGTCATACTCATTATTTCCGTTATAAGCCATTGTGATGGTTGGCTACACCAGCAGCTGGAAACACAGACTGGCCGATGTTTTTTATCGAGTTGTTTGGGTTGGTGTAATATTTTCGTTTCTCTTCAAAAATTTTGCAGTGAAGCTGTTAGGCTCACCGACACCCGAGAGTGAGGTGCGCAAGATCCAGGGGCCACGCGAAAATCAGGGTCCCCCCACAGAAGGAAGGTTTAAAAGTGAAGGTAACCTGTCTGCGGGAGAAGGCTAACACTATTTAATAAAGAATGAAAGGTTAATGATATCGAGCGATATGATGAATCAATCACCCGGTGCTCCAAGGCATATGGACGGTTTTTGACGATAGGTAAAATAAATTCTAAAGGGGGGAAAGTTGAGAGGAGGGCAAAACGGTCGTGTTTTTCTTTTTCAGGTAGAGATGAGATCGGCGTCAGGACAGCACCCCATACGGATGGGGTTTATGGATTTATGAGAGGTCACTGCTCATCAGTTGCCTTACGACAGGGATGTTACTGTGGCTTAGCATACACTACAGGCCACTCAGCCGTTACGTTACTGCGTTCCAGTACACCTGTTGATGCAGCGTCCACTGACTGAATTGCCGTCTATGGGTAGTTTGTACATAGTATTGAAGCCTTAAAGGTTAGTGCCATTGCCAAGATGCATTTTGGTTGGTCAAAAATGCGTAGATAGGTACCCTAGGTACCTAGCAGGTACTAATTAGGTCTGTACCCTTCAAGCCAGATTTGACCTGACAAGGTACATGCATATATCTTACATAAGGTAACCAGCCCTTACATAGTGAATATGTAGTTACTAACCTAGAATTTTAACTTGAATTGATTCGTTGTTCTTCAATGTTGAGATAAGGCCAAAAAGTATCAAATCCTTTTAACAAAGATATGTAGGTGTATGCTCGTAAATAATAGGGCAGGTGCATAGTTCTCGTGATGTATTTACGGATCAATGTCTTCAAACAATGTCACCCTCTGTTGTTTCTCTCCAGGAATTTAACTTCAATGTTCCCTTCAAGTTCCCTTTACTTAAAAATACTTCAAAGCTTATTACTAGTTGACATGTACTGTGTACATACCTAGCTGCCAGGCATTAATGGATCGATTTATCTTCAATGTTCGTGCCATTCAATGTGTGTGGCACCTACATGGTACCTGCTACTAAATTGCATGTACTTTAGTCTTGGAGGCTTCAAGTTTAAGGGATTGGAGACGGGATGGATCCAGAATCTTGCTTCAGGCTTCAGCCACAAATGCGAGCTGGCGAATCGCAGCATTGTACCGAGTGTATGTAAATGCAGTCAGTCTCCTTATCATACTATGTAGCACCTAACCAATCCAGAACTGTCAGCAAACAGTACATACATGTATGTGGTCTACAGTCAGCTCAGGGGTTGGAATATGAGACTAGAAATAGGTAGCCAACTTAACACACATCACTACACTATTGACATTCCTCGTCGTCTCTATGACCTCTATCATCTATGACAGTATGACTCCTATAACTTGAAGAATATACCTGCGTATGTATTAGTGATTGCATTCTTCCTTCATCTGTTCATTTTGCAATACGATGGTAGGCAATCATCGCACAGGGAATGGTCCTACAATCATCCATGGATGCAGAATAAATGCAACACTGGCCATTTGTTGGTAACCTCAGCTGGCTATTAGCTTGAAACTCAGCCCCGTATTTCCCCCAGTACATTTACGTGTACACAATGCGATCTAGTAAAATTCTGCCCCTGGACGCATGTGCCGTGTAGTGCTGCGATAGAAGAATAGTAGCCATAGTTAGCCTCAGTAGCCTTTTACGATACATGTTATTCAAGCTTTTACTCTCTATTATAAGACTTCATTTGTCAATTGACTACATAAAAAATGGAGTTCCCTGTGAGGATGTCCATAAAATTCTGCAGTAAATAGTCCGAATTTAGTTGAAGAGCAACATTTCTGTCGCGTGTAAAGGCGCCATTAGTACCTAGTAAGGATCCCGCCCCGATTAAAAATAGTAACCCAGAAATAGGAGACATCTGTGGAGATCTGAATAGCCGAAGCATCATTGGATGAGGTGTCCTATTTTAGTGGACACAAGCAAAGAAGGCGGTGCAAGTGGTGCAGGTTCAAGGGGCGGGTAACGAACTTGGAAATTCTTCGTCGCTTGATGCGTCTGCGTCTACGTATGCTGCCACTCGCATTGGCTTTTGCATTGGCTTACCTCCCTACCTTGCCTGTCAACCTTCAAAATCTCTACAGTGGAAAGGGGAACAAGTAATTATATGTTTTCTATTTAATCCCATATCCCTTCTTGTCAACTCACGTTGATATCCTGTGTGGTATTTTTTTTTTTCTTTCCCTTCTTTTCCATACCGTTTCTAGACTTAATAGCGTTACATCAATATCACTTGCAGAATCTGTTTAAGGGTTAACCTAGCAGCCCAGTACCGTGACATACATATTCATATCAATATTTTGCACATCCCAGTATAAGATCGCCCGGACGATTTACTTCTTAGATGGACTGGAGCTTAAAGCCTTATCACGTTACTCACGCCGACAACAACCCTATGACCCCTGATAACATGGAGCGTAGATACTAGGTATAAATAACCGCATCTATGAATACTCCGCATAGCCTGCTTACCATTCATATGTAGTAGATAAGCGAAGTTTAGTACTGCTAAATTATTTCACGGCTGTACGTAAACGTCACGGTCTACCTAGGTAGTCTCTTAATTGGCCCGATTCAACTACGTAACTCGAATGTCGACAGCAAGTGGGTTAGTACGAGACAAGAAGCTTTCATCAAGTCAGTCTGCTAAAGTCGACTTGCCGATTATGTCTCTCAATAGTTATTGAATCGGATGCTTATGAAGTTGAGCTCGATAGGGGGTTATACAATGCCACTAATGTCTACTTGCCTACAATACAAGTTGTACATAGCATGAACAGGTAGGATTTCATTGAGCCGTCTTTCGAAACGATAGTATCGTAGGTTCTTTCAAGCATAATCACTGGCATTCAAAGATACCAGACAAAGTTCATCCCTTCTCGTAAGTATAGGTATGATTCAAAGCTTGAGATAGAGGTCGCCTTTTCGGTGTAGGGAGTTGAAAGGGAGTCAGTCTATTCGGGCTTTATTCCTGCCAGCATCCTAAAGGTGCTCCCCCTATTATTTTTGGTGTTCGATGTGACTTGTCGTGTTCCCAGGTTGACATAGGACAATAGGCACCTATATATACGTAGGTATGTAGGAGCAACGTCGTCCACGTGCCAGCACTATGGGACAATCAAATCTTTGAAAAGACCGGTTCAGATGATAACTATTGAGCGCCAACCCCGAGAGAATATATGTACCATAATTCATCCCAGTATGTTTGTTGTCTGTGTATCTAGGCACTGACTACATTTATAGATTGAATGATCTCGGGATAGGGGGGAAAGTCCATCATTTAAAGATATCTAGGCACCTATGTATTACAAATTATATTTGCACTCCAACGAGACCTGCTTTTGATATGCTACACTTTTAACAATTGATCGAAATAACGCAAGCCATCACGTGCAGACGGTTAAAAGAGCCAATGGGGGGAATTATGGAATGGAGCCGTTGCGTGGGCCCCCCGTAGATCGTGAAGGTCTGGCCCTACGGACATGCCTAGTAATACATACATACATGGGAATGGCGTTCGCGAACCCGCTCATTCGATGAAGATCAGTCTCATTTGCTCATCGCTATCTTTTCTTTATTATCTTTTATCTTTTTTTCCGATATCCATACATAGATCTTGGTTCTTATTTTATATCTCAAAGGAATAACAGGAATAACATTGAACTTTTCTAAAGTATCCATGTACTTTCATAGATACAGGATTAATATAGGATTGAGATGTTCGACTATAATAAAGAGATCTACTTTGCAATTTCTCCTTTTACCTACCGTGTTGGGTTCTTGGAAGTTGTATTTGTATGCAAAACTATTCTTGGACACAAAGAGCATTCATCAAAGTTGATGCTGCTATGTACAAAGTATAGATCATGCGTATAATGCATATAACGCATATACTACCTAAGTAGGTAGGTAGGTAGGTAGGTACTATCTAGGTATGTAGGTAATGGGTAACTAATGGGAAGGATGAAATCTGAATACTAGTAACAGCGACTAGCGAACGAATGATAAGTCGTCATTACTCCCTGTCTTCCCTGTCTTGATGAGTTTGTTTCGCTTAATTTGGTAATTCAATGATTTTGGAATGATTTTGTACAACATCTGAACATTCGCGTAGTACGTACCCGCAGTTTAGGCATATTAAGTGGTTCCGTCGCGACTTGTTTCGCCCAAGGTTATCCCTCATTAATGAAGCCGAATTAAACCCTTGTTCTTTATGCTACAGTCACTGTTACTCCCTAAACTTCCAAGGTTCCCAGGTTGTTCCTAGGTTCAAATTCACTCTTTTCACCCCCCCATCCCGTCCCCATCTGCCCATCTGCCCACCTCTACCACTCTATCCGGTTAACGTGCGGGACTCATCACCAAATTCCAAGTTCCAAGTTCTCCCTCTCTTTTCCCACTCAAACAAATCCTCTAAACCAACACATCAATCTCAATTGGAAAAAAAAGTATCGCTTGTGTACAAGTTGCCTTTTTGCATTCGATACGCATTGGACGTTCCTTTTTTTTTTCTCCATGGCAACCTAAGTTGCATTTATTATTGAATTCCACTTCTTTGAGCTAGTCTCTTGTCACTCGTTTTATTCTACCAGCCAAACAAAACATCACAACCACCTGTTACAAACGAATTCCTACCTACCGAAACGCTCACGCCCCCTTTCTCCACGTTCCGTAACGTCAACTCAATTCGATTCATGACGACCACGCATTACCTCTATCTCTAAACGCTCCACCGTTCAATATTTCGAATCCCGATTTTCGACATTTTTTTCTGCATATCATTTCACCCACTCAAGACAGACTCGGAAAGACGAATATTGTTGCGCTCGGATTTCAATCGACATTGATGATAACTCTGGTCAGCTAGAACGATCTACGTCAGGGTCCATCTCACCGCCAAGACAACTTCCAGTACTCTTTAATCAGCCGTCGAGTATCGTATTGTCGATCGCTAGACGAGGCCATAGCGAGGCGACAACTCCCAAGTTCCTCCCAAGTCAATCTCGCCCGAATTTGAGTATCTTACTACAGGTTAACAATGGCAGGCATTCCCGGCTTCGTCGGTTTCTCACTTGGTAAGTTTAATCCTTTGCTTTGGCGACTTGATCGTGCCTCTGATATTAATGCCCATCATTTAGCTGAAGATGCTCCTTCGCCATTTTCCAAGCGACAAAATGGCTGTTATACGTGCGAGAAAACAACATTGACCTGCCCCCCTTGTGCTGACGATGAATTCTGCACCTTCACTACCCAAAAGTGCACCGAATGCTCAAAAGCAATTTGTATAAAAAACCCAGATGCAGACGCGATATCTTCCCAGCCCAGTAGTGGTCCAAACGTCGGTGCTATCGTGGGTGGTGTAATAGGGGGTTTGGCTGCCATCGGAATCATCACGTATCTAGTTTGGCGCTTCTGTATCAAGAATAAGAGGGAGTCTTACGAGCAGGAACGTTGGCAAGGAGATGTGGAACAGACCAAAGAAGGAGCAGATAACGACTTTTCTTCAAAACGGTCAAAACGAGCCTCTACCCATACCGTTCACTCGATCGCCTCTACTGTTCTTACTCGCGCATCCAACATCATTCAAATCGCTTACATCCCTGGAGTCACTAATCGGGCCACTCCTACTTCGCCAACACTTCTTGTGCCCCCCGTTCCCCCGATCCCCATTGCGCATTCGGACAGCGGTAGCAACTCACCTTTCGACGAACAACGCTTCTTTGTCCCCGGAGATCTTCGCGACTCGACGTACTCGGGCATTTCGGGCTATACTGACCGTTCTTCTGTTGCGCGTACTTCGTATGCTCCGCGATCTAGTGTTGCCTCGACGATTTACGGAAAGAATGCTGTCATTTCGCCACTTCCAGCTCAGAAGGGCAATTTCCTCAAGCCATCCATTATCAGTGTCAAGTCAGCACGCGCTCCCAGCAGTGGCAGTTCGACCCCGCCCGTACCGTCCGTCGACTACGAAAAGTACGATCAACCACCCTCATGCCCGTCGCCTGCCTTCAGCATCGGCGCGACATTCTTTAAGAACGCCAGTGCGTCAACAGCACAAGCCGTACGACCGCAGATGGTCCGCGTTGGTAGTGGTCCTAAGACTGTCGAGGTGAAGACCAAGTCATCGGCTACTTCTACTACGGCCGTTGAGGATCCCGAAAGTCCCCAATCATTAGTACAATCAGTCGATGCGCAAAAAGAAAATGAGGTCAAAACGCCAACTATATCTAAGGATCCATCGAATATGGAGAGTCCGTTTGCTGACCCGCCCAATCCGTCTAGAGGTCAACATAGTTCCCTTACCGCAGTAAGAGAGGAGCCGTCGAGGCGGGGCGATAGCAAATCATCTTCGGCCGACCGGGACAGCAGCCCATTCGGCGACGAAAATGCCTTACGAGACTAAACTAGCCGCGATCTAACGTCATTTCGTGTATGAGGGGATATGGGAAACGCGCGCAAATGGGGGGGGACCTCGTCCACTTATAAGTCTACTTCTGGTATTTACTTCCTTAGTCTGGACCTTTTTTCTTTCTTGTTATTGTTTGTCGATCAGCAAAATCTGTTCTTGTTGATTCTTTTCATACCACCTGTTGCTCAAACCCACGCAGCCGGGACGAGGTCTGGGCTGGATCTTTTCTTCTTTGATGGTACGGCGTCTTGGCTTAGAGATACGAATGAATGGAACAGCCTCAGGAGCAGCTCGGGCAGACTGGTCGCTGTGTCTAGCTACCATTGCTGCTAGCGCTGCCTTTTTCGCTATGTATTACTCCCATTTGTTAGGCCCTCGGGCGGAGAGATGAAAACATGCGATGCGTTCTAGCGCTGCAACATTCTTACGATTATTGTCAATTGTAGCTCATCTAATATAATCGTAAGACTTTCTCAACATATATCAAGAGCATATTGCCTCCTGCAAGTCGCTTTAGTTGCATTGTGACTTGTAGTGACATTAGGTAGTCAGGCTCGGGTAGAAGCCGAGTGAGGCTATATTCGGTATAAACCTCATTACCATGTAGGTATCTACATGTTCTTCTCGCCTACGGCTGAATGCACATATATGTTATTCCACACTTCTCATGCCTTCGTCCTGTACTGCTATACACTCCTAAGCATCTATGAACTACGACTCACCGAAACAGTATACCTAGGTATACTTACTACTTCCAGGGCTGGCTACCTAGGTATCTATTTTCTTTTCTTTTTTTTCTTGAAGCTTTTTACTTGGCCAACTTTGAATACTTATCTCCCTCCTTCCCTCCCTATCTACCCACGAAAGGTAATCTTTACCCGGACTTCTTTTTTTTTTCCTCTTTTACCTTTCCCTAACGCGTGTACACAAACTCACATGCAGAAGAAAGTCAGTCAGTCCATCTCGGGCTAAAGGAAGGGGAAAGGGGTCGCATAAGGGGTCGAGATGCGAGGTACACTTGCACGACAGTCGGTGTTTTTTTTCTTTTCTTGGCTGCTCTATACACCTGGCTGTCTGTCTGGCCGGCCTGGCCTGGCCGTCTGTTGCGGCTACTGCTGCTGCTGCTGCTGTTGTACGCACTCGGTGTTGGGTATTACATTACGTACACGGGTAGCTAGGTACCGAGGGAAAGGCGAATTTTGTCGAGTTTTTCGATCGAGTACGGCTTTGTGTAAGTACCTCTTCTTGCCCCCTTTCTTTCTTGGTGGGTGGGTGGGTTGGTTGGTTGGTATAGAGGTATAGGTAAGGAGGAAGATTTTCCTCCTGCTTATAAGGATAGAGGGGGACAAGTATTGGACATAAAGGCCTCGGGGGCTAGAGAGTAAGCACCTAGGTAAGTATACACTGATTACTTCTGCGGCAATACTCTATGTCTGGTGTCGAAACGTTGACTAGGTGAGTAGTTAGGTACCTACTTTTCATGCAGATGTAGTACGCGCAGTGGTCGGGTGGATGGATATGCAAGCCCCCTTTCTGTCTCTTGGATCAGGCAAGCTCTAGCGGATAGTTACCTGCCTTGGCAGCTTGTTGACTTCCGACGGCTACTGGAATACTTCCTGCCCAATCGCCACAGACGGGGTTTTCCCCTCTAACGTACCTACCTAAGGTTAGATGACAGTCAACTAAAATAGTACGGGTGTTAGGGGTAACTATGATGAGGCTTAACACAGTAGTTACGACTGGGTCCCTAGGTACCTAGTAACCTTGAGCGTATGTAGTGCTTTGACCTACCTATATGCCTACATATAGGTAGGTACATATACGATAGGCCCTCTTTTCCTATACATACCCCCATATGTAAACACCAGACCATCGTCAGACTCTCTTCATCACGAGTTCTTGGCCCCCTCAGTCTTTGTCTAGGTATGGAGTCAGATATCCCGAGAAAGAAATGCCGGAGCAATCTCCCGCTCAGCATACACACACAGACAGACAGAGTGGCGTTAGTCCTTCCCCACCATCTTAGCTGGGGCCTTTCTCCTACATAGGCCCGGCATACCTAGGTAGGTAGTACCTACACTGCGCACGTACTTAGCAATGCGGCTCAAATCATGTGTGTACTCCACCAGCCTACTTACTTACATTAGGTAGGTACCTACCTACATAGGTAAGATGTAGGTATCTTCGGTAGGCTCTCACTTACAACATACTCATCCGCCTCAAAGCCAAGGACCGAGTATGTGGCTAGCGGCAAGCCACATGGCGGGTTTTCCGACAAGGCCAAGTCCGTTCGTTGTCCAGGCAAGTATAGACGCGCGCCGGGCGGAGGGAAGAAGGGGGGGGACCGGGTGCTAGCAGGGCGGGCGCGTTACGCAGCATAGTATATGCGGCTAGCTGCTTTGCCAACGCCTTCGTTGTCTGTTGCCCAACTGGGTTGCCCGTCGATTCGGCTTGCTAGTCGGAGCTAGTTTGTGGGGAGTATCGAAATAGGGAGGGCGATGTTCTCAGGGGGAGGTTGCCTAGGTAGTTGATAATACGATATAAGCAAGGGAGGTAGACTATTGTAGCCCTATGGCCAGTCCAGTAGGTATTAGGTATATACATATAGGTGGATTGGCAAATCAGGTGAAAGGTATTATCCCTATGCCTCTAAGGTGCTAGCTTGACTAGGTAGGTAGGTATATAGTGCCTCTTCTAGTGCCTCTTCGTTAGCAAAGACTTGCTCCCGTCGAACTGGTAGCCATTGCAAAGGCCGGGTGTCTCCTAGGAAACCAACAGGGCAATTATACACAATGTAAAGTAGGTAGCGTGTAAACATATGGCGTCCAACTCAGTCCTGCTGAGTATAAAGGATGGCAATGCCTATGATACCTCATCCAAAAGGGGGACGATAGTGATGCCTAACATATTTATTAGTGAACAAATACAGGTCGACCCCTTTCTCCTAACATATACAATATATCATACCTAGTATTTACAAGCGTTGAATATTGCACAAAGAAAATCAGGAAGAATTCTGTGAGTTCCTAGGTTCCATTGCTTGAAGCTTTAGACATGATATATAAATCACCACGAAGAACTCGTCTATCAACCCCTTTATAGCACACCTCCTTTTTGTTGCTAAACCTTCTCTCCTTAAACAACTTTTATTCCTAGGTACCTCTGAATAGAGAGAGCATCTACCAGCTATTATGAGCAGCACTTGGGCATACATATACCAGACCAATAGAGAACAGTAGCAACTTCATTACCCGGTAACGTTGAAGTCGTTACTCGGCAAGCGAAACAAGCACAGATACAAGTGTGTCTCCTGATCCATCGGACTCATCCGACACGTATCTGTATAACTACTAACCAACAATAAACATACTCCACCCTTCCACCCCCCCTGGTCCTCCATCGAACACACATCTTTGGTACCTACCGACCCAGTGTATCGACTTATGTCAGCGCGAACAAAAGATACGACAAAGCCTTGGCCCCAACTCCGCCTCCCCATCCCCTCCCACTGTAACCTTATATGACGGGGGGTGGGAAGGTTAATATGTAAAACTCGCGGAGCAGAAGAGAAGCTTATACGATGAAAGCGAGACCGAAACAGAGAGAAGACTGTCATTTTCTCGGCCGAGGACCTTTTCCATTTCCTTTTCCCCTCCCCACCGACTCCCAAATCCCATTCCCCCCTTGTTTCCGTACCTAAGTTCTAGAAAACAGGTACACTATCTGGATAGATTGTAGGAATACCGTTCCCCTGGGATATAGTTTAAATAGATGACACCTGGGGTTTATTTTGGGTGGGAAAAGGACTTGCCCTGCTTGTAACTAATCTGGTACCGACAAGTACGGTGCATACAGATATGTACATAGATGCCTCATAGGTCGGTAAAGTAGGTAGATACCGAGGCAGGTAGATCGTACATATGAATAGAGATGTCGGTATGTACAATACAACATCCCTCCCTTCCTCCCTAACCCCCAACCTTTACCCTCATTTATGCCAAGTGTACCTAGGTAGGTATCTACCTACGTAAGCATCCCTTTATATTTGAGTGTAGGGAGATGACTGCTTATGTACATACCTACATATTATTATGTAGATATCGATGTTGGTCCCGTACGTGAAGGAACGAGGAGATGATATAATTGGGGGCAAGGGACAGCACTGGAGATCGCATTACACCAACCTCTGCCGCGTGACGTAAGTACATAGATACCTCTGCCCCCTTGTCCTTATTCTACACCGCAAAGCTTCTGAGTGTGAAGAGTTCGTCGGGAGATGGGTTAGCCTAATGGTGGGAGGTCTAGCATAAAGGGGGCACTGAAAAAGGTATCCCCTTCAGTTACTTACCTGGGCAGATGTGCAGTATGTACCTACGTAACACCTAGCTACCTAAGGTAGATACGTAGGTATGTACCTATACATCGCCAATGAATAAAGCTGGCCATATTACGGATAGAGGTAACTAAAGCAAAGGCATAACTGGCGACCTTGTCAGCCAAGTAGTTACCGTGTAGGTACGTAAGGCATGTTCCCCACAGACTCTTTGATGTGTAATAGCATAGGTAAGTATCGATCTCTACTATCACGAACGAAACCTCGACACCGAATACGACATACGAATCTATGAAGCCTGTTGCTCTCAAAGCTTGACCATCCATATGCTATGTAAAGCAACAAGGCCCCCCCCTTCCCTCGCTCCCCCGCGGAAGGACCCAATCGATGTAAATATCCCGCGCTTGGCTTAAGCAGCAGCAAGGTTTGGCATATCCCACGGGAGTGTATGCTTGGTTAAGGTAAGCCCAGTTGGTCGGCCGGTTGATGAAATGATTGGCTGGATGGGATGTTTTTTCACAAACGTGTTCGTCCCGAGCCAAAGTTCCCGACGAATAAACAAAACAAACCCACGCATAATAATAGCCCAGGACAACGGGCCCCCGGGAGACCGCATGCAAGCAAAGGCTAATATTAACGAAGCGCCGCATTGAACAATGAAGAAACGTCCCTGCATTATATCTACCTACCTAGTACATACCTACCTACCGAATAACCTACCTGCATACCTAGGCACATACGTACCCCCTAGGTGTATATCTGTGCATATTGCCAGATAACTACACCCCATGCATCAACTCCGACATTATAATCCTCCAATGTAAAATGCAAAATGCAAACCCGCAAACCGGGGCCAGCTAATTTTTCAGAACCCTTGCTTCGAGGAGAGAGATGTGTACATACCTATATACATTAGGCAGATACTGTAGGTATTAAGGCACTACATTCTACTTAGCATTGAAAGAAGAGAAAGGCAGAGAGAAAGGAAGAAGGAAGCAAGAAAAGAAACAAAAGAAGCCTAGGTTAGGTAGGTATTAAGGTCCCTTACCGAACGGAGAAAAGAAGCCAACGCACGAACCGATCCAGCAGGAGCTCGCCGTCGGGAAAGGATCGCCAACCCTGGGCACTTTCTCGGCCGGTGCCCTCTGCTTTGCTTTGCTTTTGCTTTTATGTACATACATACTTGCGCACCAGTCAACATCGATATACACATAGACCGTCAGACAGTCAGAGACACCAGGCAGGCCTGTTAGGTATGTAGGTACCTATGTAGGCAGGCAACGGGACGGGCCGGCCAATAAAGGAAGGAGGTGGAGGAGGAGGAGGAGGAGTGAGGGAGGGAAGTAATTAGCTAACCTACATAACCTTGAACCTATGCAACATACCTAACTACATACCAGGAAGGTTAGCTACCTACGTAAGCACTGTGTCTAAAGAGGGTCATTAGATGACTGCAATGATGCCTAAAGAGGACGAAGCGAAGAGAGATGCATTACCAAGTTGAGTATAGAGAGCGTATGTTTGAAATAAAAGGGGAGTTACCTAGGTTAGGGGAGGAGGGGTGGTGTGCGTGCGTGCTGAAAAAGACCAGGCCAAAGAAAAGAAGAAAAAAAAAACCCCCCCCAACCACCAAGACCACACTTTTCCCGTAAGAGTTTCGCGGCAGATGCTTGAATCGATCCATACGCTAACGACTGCAGCACGACTGAAGTAGAAGAGGCTCCTCTTCGTATCGGGTCGTGATTCACGTCCTACCTACCATACTCACACTTCCATGCCTTGCCTACGCCGTAGACCTGCGTTCGTTCTTGGGCACGCTGATGAGGTTGTAGCACCACCTACTACGTGACACTCGTTGAACTATTTCGGCCATACAAGTATGGCCATTTTTGACTGATGACATTCGCTGTTCCTCCCATTGAAGGCATGATATGATACCTAGTATGATGTCCAAGTTAACTAACGGCAGTACGTGCGTGCGTGGGTGCGTGCGTGGGAGAGGGAACTCGAATACGCGCCGAAAGTACCTATCCTAATATTACTATGTATAATGCCAAGGTCAGATCACCTACCTAGGTACACATAACTACACGCCAGTACCCCTTCAACGTACACATAGTTACAAGGCTGAAAAGAAAAGCGTGTTGTACATAATACCTAACTAGTGTAGTAGTTATTAGCGATCAACACAAAAAAATAACAAGACGAGAGAAGAAACTGATCAAAAAAAAAGGCAGAAAGCTCGGTAATTTTTCGATGGTACTGTCCCACCCTAAGAAATTACACACTGCGTCAATGGGCGAGGGTTTGAGAAGAGGCC